ACCTTGACCTGATATGTGGATGTGTGTAAACCTGACCTTGACCTGATATGTGGATGTGTGTAAACCTGACCTTGACCTGATATGTGGACGTGTGTAAGTCTGACCGTGACCTGATATGTGGATGTGTGTAAGCCTGACCGTGACCTGATCTGAGTTGGATCTAATTCCAATCGATTTTTAGCTTAATTTAATCTATTCCGGATCTACGTTGATTTAATGTAACTGTAGTTAACCTAATCTAAGGAAATTTATCTTAATCCAGATAGATTTAACTTTACTTAACCTAATCAAATTAACCTAATCTATTATAAAATACTTCTAACCTAACCTAATTCAGCAAAAAAATAATAATAGTTAAATATGTATAGTATGCATGTAATATCACCTCACCTGAACTAATTTGCATACATTTACCTGAGTATGCGTGTGCAATATATTCATCCAATCCTTTTTAATTTGATTCTTTCTCAACTCTAAAAGGGGACACAAGGATAGATTTGTAATACATTAAGGGAACATTAATACTCTCAAAGACTTAATGAAAAGAAATATTAACTTCAATTAGGGGAAAGGCCTTTGAAATGTTGTGGTATACACGACTGTTAAGAATAAGATACACTGATAGGAAACAAATGAAGAAATAACTAAGGTTTGTCAAAAGTTCAAGAGAAATGTACAGAAAAATAAATGTTAGATACTTTGGTCATAAAATTAGTGATGAGGGAATAACAAGAGAAATATTAATGGGTAAAGTTGAAGGTAGAATGACCAGGGGGAAGGTAGAGACTGTGATGAATGAATGGAATTAAAAACAGACCCCCCCAGAGAGATGTAAAACCTTAAGAGTATTGGTATAAACAGTTCAATAACCTCAGATATATGGACGGTATTTGATTGCTTGATTGAATGTTGTCTGTCTGTCTATCTGTCAGTCTGTCTATCTGTCAGTCTGTCTGTCTTTCTGTAAATAAATACTGACCCACACGTAATGCCATAAGTAATTAGTGCACAGGTAAATCAGGTGGAAGGATATGGGTGTGGATGAAGATGGGAGAATGGATAGGGGATGGAGAAGGACGTGGAGTGAATGAAGATGGATAAGGAAGGATGGGGAGGATAGGGATAAGGGGAAAGTATTGGAGGATCAGAGATGGATAAGGATTGATAGGGAAGGATAGAGGATAGATGGATGATCAGGAAGATGGATAGGTTGGTTAGAGGGGTAGGATAGGGGAGTGGTTAGCTTTGGTAATGATCATTGTAGTGCTGATTTTATCTGTTTGTATATTACTCTGTCCACCACCACCACCACCACCACAGCAACTACCACAGCTACCAACCACAGTAACACATCGTCGCCACAGCTCAACACTTCAACCCACCACAGCAACACCCACACACACCACCTCTACCACCACAGGGTTTTACAGTGGCGAGGAATTCTGTGTACCGATAAACAATACATACCCTCTGTATTTTATGTATACGTGATGTGCTGTAGCTGTAATGCGTATGTATCATGTAGGAGAAATAGCAGTTTAATACTTATGGACTTTTAAATGATACAGAATGGGGGATATTGCATGTTGAAAATGTTGAAAATGTTGCAATATCGAGTATTATAAAACTAGGGCGAGAGAGAGAGAGAGAGAGAGAGAGAGAGAGAGAGAGAGAGAGAGAGAGAGAGAGAGAGAGATTGTTGCATGTTGTAAATGTTGTAATATTGAACATTTTAAAGCTAGGACGAGCAATACAGCTAAAAAGAGAGATATTGCAAGGTCGAAAATGTTGCAAATACCAACATTTTAAAACTTGGACGAACGATACAGCGGCAGAAAGAGATATTGCAAGGCTGAAAATGTTGAAAATGTTGCAATATCAAACATTTTAACAACATAACCCCCGTGGTAGCGTGAGTGTTTACTGTGAAATAGGTGAAATAGGTGGCTGATGAACTCCCAGTGATGCGGAAATTATAATATTGATGATAAAAATATAACCAATAGCGACACACGTAATTGACACATGCTATCTACTATTTATGGGTCTCACTACCTCCTATTTATAGTTAGACCCGGGCAGGGTGAAACTATGGGCAAGTTTCTTTGCGCCATTTACCTCTGTCTACCCAGCAATAATTGGGAACCTGGATGTTAATCGATTTATAGATCGTGTTCCGGGGTAATGGTTTGCCAGTACAGTTGGCAAGTTGTCCGGTCTTCTCGGACTATTCTTCGACACTGGGTCATGCAACTCGTTAACTCAGGGTGTGGTTGTTGTGTTGGCGACAGCTTCTACACCTTAAAGGCTTAAATAAATTCATGCTTAGGTGGTCCTTGGGCCGGCCTCCCTCGTTATACGAAGGGCAACCATTATTATTATATTTATAGGTTAGTTTAGGTTAGGTTAGCCTTAGGTTAGGTTAGGTTAGCCTTAGGTTAGGTTAGGTTAGGTTAGCCTTAGGATGGCTAAGCAAAACGTGAAATAAACTGGGGGGTTTAATCTTCAACTGGTTCTATTAATTCATTTATTCCCTTAATTATTTAATCCTTAACCAGAAATAAACGTCAGAGCATTAGTTATTATCTACTTTAAACCCGCACTCCGAAACACATATCCCTCGCCCAGGTAAAACATCCATCAATCAGAACAAAAGAGAAAGGTATTTGAGTTGATTAAAATCCAGTTGCAATACTGTCCAATTTTCTATCATTGAATTGAGGGAAAATATACACCGAGTGAATTACCTCTGCTAGAATTATCATAAGTTTGGTCCTTTTAAACGTACGTGATTCTCCATGGCATTATTTTGATCCTTTTAAAACGTACGTGATCCTGTGTAAACCAATGAGTTTGATCCTTTTAAAACGTACGTGATCCTCCAATGGCTAATGTTTATCCTTTTAAACGTACGTAATCCTGTACCCGAAACCACCCACTATTTTTTCCCCCACTCTGAAGGCTACAGAATAATACAGCTTGCAATCACTCACAGGTGAATCCAACTCCCTCATGGTATAATGCACAAAACAAAATACGTCCAGGATTTATTGCCAGGAAAGGGATTTTTTTTGTTGAGAGAGAGAAAAAAAGAATAAGTATCGACACCCACCACCAGGAGTCTCCCGCCCTTCCTCCGGGTGTTGGGTAGAAGGCGAGAGTGAAGACAGCAGCAGATAGAACTGGCGTGAGGTGCGTCCTCCTCCCACCCACGTCCAAGACACACTGTCCTCTCTTTTTCCTCTTCCTACCACTACCACCACCGCTGCTCTGCCGGCCTGCGCCCCCTCCCCTTCCCCCTATACTTACATACATACATACATGCACACACACACACACATACATATATACATACCCGATGATACCGACTCATAAACCACAACTGGTAGGCTGGATTGAGGTGATTTTTATTCATTCAGACGTGTGTGTGTGTGTATAGCTCTAACCACGCCTGCTTCCGGACATGTAACTGTACTATGCGTCGTAGTTAAGCTCCTCAGACTCACCAACCACGAGTTAAGAGGAGCTGTGTGGTTAGTTTAGGTTAATTTCACTAACAAAATTAATCTCAAGTTCTGAAACAAATTAATTTAACCCTTCGAGTCCTGGGGGGTTAAATCATTGTTCCCAAATGGTTAAATCATCGTCTTCAGAGGGTTAAATCACCGTTTTGAAACAGGTTAATTTAACCCTTCAAGTCCTGGGGGGTTAAATCATTGTCCTCAAGGGTTAAATCATCGTCTTCAGAGGGTTTAATCATCGTCCTCAGAGGGTTAAATCTTCCTACTCAAAGGGTTAAATTATCGTCCTCAAGGGGTTAAATAAATCGTTTTTCTCAAAGGGTTAACCCATCGTCCTCAAAGGGTTAAACCATACACCATAAGGCGACAATACTACACTCACTCACGCCACAATACGACCCAAACCCAACCTAAAATAACAAATTATAATCCCATTCAAAACCGCGTGAAAAAATAAATAAAATAAATCATACAATATATACATTATTAGACCCACAATGATATTATATTTCTCATCTAACAGCAATAAATCAGACTTACAACCCAGCAAAATATTACGGGGGAAATATTTTAGCTAAAGTATTCACATCAACAAGCTGTCATAGGTATGTTATATTATTAGGGTAAATATATCATATATCATATACACCCGCGTGGAGAGTGTCATTTAGGTCCTACAGAGTTGATACAGGATATAGTATGTAGTAGAATATTACTGTATATTAAGTCTAGCTTCATATTAGGCAATTTGGGGTTATTCAATATTCTCAAAGTATCGTAAGTTGGATATTTCTCGTTACTGAAGATATAAGAATTCTCAAAGTATCGTAAGTTGGATATTTCTTGTTACTGAAGATATAAGAATTCTCAAAGTATCGTAAGTTGGATATTTCTCGTTACTAAATATATAAGAATTCTCAAAGTATCGTAAGTTAAATATTTCTTGTTACTGAAGATATAAGAATTCTCAAAGTATCGTAAGTTGAATATTTCTCGTAAGTGAAGGTACAAGGATACATACATATAACTAGTTGGGTTAAAAACTAAGACACAAATTTCTGCCGTTCATAAATTTCATGAAATATTATAGGATCAGCTGAAGATTAGGGCCCCTCACCTTATCTTACCTTGAACATTAATCTCCCTAAGGCTAAATTAACTTAACCTGACCCCCCAAGGTAACGTTAGGGTGGTTAATCTTCAGGTTGTCTCAAAACTTTCCCATTAAAATGAAATCGCAGCAAGTTCGGTGTTAGAGTAGAGTAACTTGATGACGAATCTAACCGAACGCTAACCTAACCTAACGCTTCGTAGGTTTGGTTAGGTTAGAGTTGGTTAGGTTAGGTTAACACTAGGGTGACTTATCTTCAGGTGATACGAGAAAACGATCAGAACTAAAACCAACCAATCAAAACATCATATTTCATTCAAAACAACTAACAAACACCATAGGTTAATGATGGTTAATGTTCTACTTACAAATTTAACATCACAAGTCGATAATTCTATTCGTGGTAGATGAAAATATTCGTTCAAAAAAAAGTCAATATATTTTATAAGTCCATTTTCGCTATAGTTAATTTCTCATTAAGTTTAAAATACGAATAAAAAAGTAATTCACTTTTATAAATCACAAGTAAATAAAAATCCGCTTTATGTACTTAAAGAAATTATTTAACACTTTTTCAGAGATGGAACTCGAGTTAGAGGAGAGGGCGACGCTGCTTCCACCCTCTTCGGCCACCAGAGAGAGACTGACTGAACCTCGTAGTCCAACTGGCCCTACGAGGCACTCTAGTACCACCGCCTCGCTCCTAGATGGCGTTGTATGTCAGTAGCCCCTCACCATCAACACATACAGCTGTCCTCCCTACGATAGCTCTCTCTGTTGCTTAAATTCACCTGAAGATTAGACACCAGCAGCTTATTTCACCTGAAGATTAGGGTAGGGTAGGGTAGGGTATGGTAGGGTAGGGTAGGGTAGGGTAGGGTAGGGTAGGGTAGGGTAGGGTATGGTAGGGAAGGGTAGGGTAGGGTAGGGTAGGGTAGGGTAGGGAAGGGTTGGGTAGGGTAGGTTTAGGGTAGGGTAGGGGTGATGAATCTTCAGGTGAAATAATCTGGGATGTCTAATCTTATGTCATGTATACTCGTATATTTCACTGAGGACCTGCTATCACCGTCTCCTGGTGACTTACTGGTGACTCAAGGCCAAAGACGTACACTGGTGACTCAAGGTTATGACTAACTACTGGTGACAAAAGACTACGACTTACTGGTGACTTGTGAGACAGGAACATGAATTGGTGACATCCTAGTGACTTAATGGTGATTTCCTGACGACTCATGGCTGACTCAAGGCAATGACTATCAACTTGTAACTCCCAGCTGACTCATGACCAAGACCCCTGGTGAACTCCTGGTGACTCACACATGACCTGCACGACATACACACACAATATATATCACGAAACACACCCAACATGCCGATATATGAGGCTATAACTTATTTAACATTCCTGACAGTATTATACAAAAATTTATCTCCTATAATAGATATATATATAAGTCCTTACATATATATACGAGGGAGATATAGATAATTGGGTCTTTTATACATATATTGAAAGACGATATTAACCTAATCTAACCAATGCTAATATCATCTTTCCTATATATGTAAATAAAACGTCACTATTGTGCATCTTACATCAACTTATACAAAACACAATACCATTTATAACGGACCTCGATCTCATGGTTATAGTCCGTTTTATTGAGGTTTCACAGCTAACAGAACCTCCATATAACGGACTTTCTTCATACACACACATCCCCCCCACCAAAAAAAAAACACAATCAATTAACCACACATCAACCTCAACTAATCATTATCCTTCAACAACACCTCCCCCCCCAACGACAGGTGACACAGGTAAGTAATTAACGAATGTGCGCGTGTCTGTCTGTGTGTGTGTGTGTGTGTGTGTGTGTGTGTCTTTTATTCACCTATCGCAGGGAAGGTAGTCATTTGTCTAGCTAATCACCATTGCCTCGTGGTCTACTGTGATTAGGGGCGGGGGTGGCTCAGGGTTTGTTCAGGGCTGTGGGTTAGGTTAAGGTCAGATATATAGAGAAAAACAGAAAGGGGTGGTATGAGGGGGCGAGGTGTGAGGGTATAAGGGGAAATATAAGGGTCAATCCTGGGCTTAGTAAATCACCTTAACCCCCTTACCCTCCTCATCCCTGGGATCGAACGTGTGTCTTGTGAGGTTATATTCAGAGTTATACCACCCTCACCACCACCACCACCACCCTCACCACCACCACCATCCTCACCACCACCACCACCCTCACCACCACCACCACCCTCACCACCATCACCACCTCACCACCACCATCCTCCACCCCCTCACCACCATCCTCACTCACCACCACCACCACCCTCACCACCACCACCACCACCCTCACCATCACCACCCTCACCACCACCACCCTCACCACTACCCTCACCACCCTTCCATAATCCCTTCAACCGTGTCTGAGCCGGGTATCGAACTTTGGACTTAAGGGTCGTAGTCCGAGCCATTACCATCTTCGCCACGGCCGCCCCTTGGGAACTCATCTCAAACGCTCTAACTAAAGTCTTTAACTCTGCCTCAGCGATCCAATGTTTTGATTACATCTCAATGTATATAACTTCTCTGTCCCTGCCTAGGAAGTTAAGGCATCACCTGTATACTTCTGTCAACATCTGTACCTACCTGTCTGTCTGTCTGTCTGTCTATCTGTCTGTCTGTAGGACGTTGGGAACATGAACAATACTTGATAAGGTCACAGACAAAAATAACCTTCTCATCTACACCAAGAAGGAATCGAACCCTGGTCGTGGTTGTGAGAGGTAAGCGCGACTGGTGCACCGTAATTAGCTCTATTTACCTGCCTTTTTACCTGGAGACAACTGACAGGTGGCTTTATCGAGTAATTCACTCGTAGCTGTGGCCACAATATCGGCAGCTTATGTGGCCACAATTTCACCAACATGTGGCCACAACATAAGTATTCTCTCTCGGTGATTAATATTCCCACCTGCTGACGAATATCCCCACCTGCTGACGAATATTCCTACCTACTGACGAATGTCCCCACCTGCTGACGAATATTCCCACCTGCTGACGAATATCCCCACCTGCTGACGAATATCCCCACCTGCTGACGAATATCCCCACCTGCTGACGAATATTCCCACCTGCTGACGAATATTCCCACCTGCTGACGAATATCCCCACCTGCTGACGAATATTCCCACCTGCTGACGAATATTCCTACCTGCTGACGAATATTCCCCTACCTCCTGCTGACGAATATCCCCACCTGCTGACGAATATCCCCACCTGCTGACGAATATCCCTACCTGCGGCGAATATTCCCACCTACTGACGAATATCCCTACCTACTGACGAATATCCTGCTGACGAATATTCCCACACCTGCTGACGAATGTCTACCTGCTGACGAATATCCCCACCTGCTGACGAATATCCCTACCTACGGCAAGGGTATTTCCCTGCCTGCTGACGAATATTCCCACCTGCTGACGAATATCCACCTGCTGACGAATATTCCACCTGCTGACGATATCCCTACCAACGACGAATATTCCTACCTACTGACGAATATCACACCTACTGACGAATATCCCCACCTGCTGACGAATGTCCCCACCTACTAACCAGGAATATCCACCTACTGACGAATATCCCTACCTGCACAGGCAGAATATCCCTACCTACTGACGAATATCCCACCTACTGACGAATATCCCCACCTGCTGGCAGATATTCCACCTGCTGACGAATATCTACCTGCTGACGAATATCCCCACCTGCTGACGGAATATCCTACCTTCTGACGAATATTCCTACCTGCTGACAGATATTCCCACCTGCTGACGAATATCACCTGCTGACGAATATCCCCACCTGCTGACGAATATCCCACCCTGCTGACGAATATCCCCACCTGCTGACGTTATTCCACCTGCTGACGAATATTCCCACCTGCTGACGAATATCCCCACCTGCTGACGAATATCCCCACCTGCTGACGAATATCCCTACCTACTGACGAATATCCCCACCTACTAACGAATATCCCCACCTACTGACGAATATCCCCACCTACTAACGAATATCCCTACCTACTGACGAATATCCCCACCTGCTGACGAATATCCCTACCTTCTGACGAATATTCCTACCTGCAGCTGATGCCTCCGATAACCTACTTACCTGCTTACCTGAGAGGACTCGTGACCAGGTGACCCTCTTAGGCAATGATTTAATTACTGTGTTGATTCGGCTCCCAACTCACCTGATGTTGTGAGATGGGGTTATCGGAGTGTGTTTTTAGGCTTGTTTTTTTTTAGAGGGGTGTTTTAATTTTGTATTCAGGTGTTTGTTTGTCTACCTGTCTGTCTTTCTCTCTCTTTCACACACACACACACACACACACACACACACACACACACACACACACACACACACACACACACACACACACACACACACACACACACACACACACACACACACACACACACACACACACACACACACACACACACACACACACACACACACCGTTTATATCTACTTGAATCAACATTATGCATTCATCTCTCTCAATCTCTCTCTCTCTCTCTCTCTCTATCTCTCTCTCTCTCTCTCTCACTTGATCATCCTTCACCCACTAGAGTAGAGACAAATACTTAAACACGTTTTAGCACTTAAGCTCATAGACATATAACCGAATCTTCCAAATATCCTAAATATCGAACCAATTTCATATCCGGATTCAGTACAGGACCCCAATATTCGTACTAAAAAACCGTGAATCTACAGATATTCCTTCCCACACACACGGACAGACTAACAGACAAACAGACTAATTTTATGTCTTTTTGGTATCACCTGAAGATTAGCCCCCCTAAGCTAATGTCAGCTGATGATTAAATTATCTTAACGTGACCTGAGAGGTTTGGTTAGGTTAGGTTAAGAGAACTGAGATTAGGGTAAGTTATGTTCGTAATATTTTTAATGCAAAGGTGTGCCTGCAGACAGTGATAACCCACCACATGCGATAATCCTATGCAAATACTACCCAATATCACCTTTATCTAACACTTTAACTCCTTCAATACGAGGTGCACCAATTTTATTCAGCATAGAGAGGGGAATGAAGTGAAGGGCGAGGTGGGGGTGAAGTGGTGTGTTAGGTGAGGACAAAGTAAGAGGAGGGAAACAGAGGGAGGGAGGAGGTAAAAGGTAGGAAGGATCAGGTGAGATTTAAGGTAAGGAGGTGTTAGAGGAGGGAAGGGGGACAGGTGAGAGGAGGCAAGATAGGGGGGGATTCAGAAGAGGAGGGGAGGTATGGTATGCAGGTAGGGTGGGCGGGTGGGTGGGGGAGAGGGGATAACACCAGTGAAAATTAATTCTGGTTCGACCATTCACCAAACTCTAACTGTGTAATAATAAAGCTCCCTAAAAAGTTATGTCCTAATGTCAACAACAGGTCCTGACGCAAACGGTAAAAGCTCTCTCCTCTGTTATTATTCCTGTGTACTTGTAGTGGCTCTGAGTAAACAGGTTTTAATAGGACAGAACGGAAGGCAGGGTGTGTTGGCTAGCATGTGTCTCTGATGTTTGTGTTTTGGTCTTTTTTGGGTGAGAGAGAGA